TAAGTGCAGGAACATGAGAGAATTCACCAGAGACAGGGTGGGGAGCAGAACAGGCAGATGGATCAAAACCACTGCTGAGGGGAGCAGTGGGCGAGGCAGGAGAGGTCTGCCCCGCCATATGGTACTTTCCCTGGTTGGCAGCAAATTGAACCCACGCTGCAGATGCTGTGGACAGCTTCACAGCACGGCGCTCAACTTCTTCGCCACCATGGAGGCCTACATTGTTAGTCTTTCTTAAGAAGTTATAAATCACTTAATTTAAAAAAAATCACCTTAATTATAAAGATCATCCTAATTTTGTTTTAATGAAAATTAACTGAATAACTTTCTTTTAAGAGTTTGCAGGTATATCATATATCTGTTCAACAACTTCACAATGAAAGCCTGAAAATTCTCCTACTGAGTTTAAGAAGAAGAAAGTTTCTGCTAAATAAAACTACAATAAGATACCATCTCACACCAGTGAGAATGGCATATATTAAAAAAACTAGCAACAACAAATGTTGGCAAGGATGTGAAGAAAAAGGAACTCTCCTGCACTGCTGGTAGAAATGCAAACTGGTCCAACCACTATGGAGAACTGTGTGGAGGTTCCTCAACTTACTAAAGATAGACCTTCCATATGATCCAGCAATTCCACTCCTAGGTATTTATCCAAAGGACACGGACATTAATTCAAAAAGGCACCTGCACCTCTATGTTTATAGCAGCACTATTGACAATAGGTAAGATATGGAAACAACCCAAATGACCAAAAATAGATGACTGGATCAAGAAGATGTGGTACTTATACACAATGGAATATTACTCAGCAATGAAAAAAGATAAACTCATGCAATTTGCAGCAACATGGATGGAGCTGGAAGGGATCATGCTCAATGAAATAACCCAGAAAGAAAAAGAATACCGGATGGTCTCACTCTTAGCAGGAATTTAGAAAACATAAATAAGGGACCAGGACAAAGACTAATTATAATAAAGAAATAATCAAAATCAACAGGCAACTGTAAACTAGAGACACAGTACAGGGGGGCTGGGGGGAGAAGGGAGTAGTATCAAAACGGGGGGGTGTGTGGGAATTGCATGGGGACTATAACCAAGATGCAAATACATACATTAGGCCTCCCTGGTGACACAACGGTTGAGCGCTGGGTTGCAAAGCTGCCTGCAGCCTCTGCAGCGCTGGTTCAATCCCCTGCTGCTGGGCAAGGGTCCTACATGGTGCGCAGACCTCTCCTGCAGCCCACTGCTCCCCTCAGCAGTGTACTTCATCACTCTGCCTGTTCTACTCTCTGCTCTGGCTCTGGTGAATTCTCTCACCCTCCCACACCTCTGACTGCACCCAGTGCCTGTATAAATAAATAAATAAATTTAAAAAAAAAAAAAAGAAAATACATACATTGTGCAAAAATGAAAAATGATGTAAAAATATATTTAAAAAACAAAAAAAAATAAAGTTTCTGCTCAAACCACTTCCATTTAACTAATATTGAGAGGGTAGTTGGAGAAAGAACTAAACATAGGTACTCATAGATAGCATGATCTTCTGTATTTAGAAAAATCTTTAAATAGCCACAAGAGAAACTGTTCTAGAATAATTGAGATCATCGGGATTGCAGAGCACCAGCTCAATACAAAGACATCCATTTCATTATCTATACACCAGAAATGAACAATCAGAAAGAACATTAAACGGATTCATTTAAATAACATAGGAAAGAGTAAGATAATGTAAGAGACTAAAAGCAGTGTGAGATGGGTGCAACAAAAACTATAAAATGTTGAAAAAATACATATGTAAATAGGATGACATCCCTTATTAATTACAGAAATTGAATATCAAAATGTAAATATTCAACATCAATGGAGCTAGAGGGGATTATAGGAAGATAAACCTGAAGGCAAAAGTCAAACACCCAGCAGTCTCACTTGAATATGGAATATGGAGAAATAAAACAAAGGTTCACATTAGATCAAACCAGTAACTAAGTCCAGAAACTGAGAATTTGGTAGAATTGAGGCTACCAGAGTGGGGAGAGAGGGAATGGAAGAGGAGCAAAGTGTGGAGGGGCCCAATAGACAATGAGGCTGGAATTTTTGTTGTTGTTGTCCATTATATTTAGTTTCATTCCCATAAACACCACCCAGATAAATCATTCCTTATTTAAACAGTAAATTATGCAAATCCTGTAGATAATATTTGCTTTTAAAGGAAGATAACTTTGTTTCTTGCTTTGGCAAATTTCATGGATAATCCTATTGGTGAATACTTAAAACCTAAAAGGCACAGAATCTCCTAAGACACTGATTTGGCCTTGGCTTATTACTGTGTAAACCACTCAACAGCCAAAAATTTGACTTTAAACATTTAAATACACTCAAACCTGTTTTCTTCTCCATTACCATGGATTTTCAAAACAGTTTTTTATCGCACTAAAGCTAATAAATACAAATTAATATAACTTTAAAAATAAGATAATAAATTAACCTCAGAATTTTAAGGTTCAGTGTCAAAAACTACTGATTTATAGAAGCCAACAGCTTGTAATAATGAATTATACAACTCTTCTAGTCTGTTTTGTTCAGTAGATAAAAACAGCTGTCTATAGAGGACTATTTTATCTGATGGGAAGAATACCCGAGGGTCTGGCTCTTCAGTACAGAATCTGAGAGGAAATGCTTCACTAGTTCTTTTCCACTAGCCCGTGTGTCACTAACTATCAGTTCAAAGTGCTTCCCCACTGCATTTCGATTCATGCTGACTCCTGATGCTGGCCATCCTGGCCCAAAGTTTTATTTAACAGGGCATAGAGCCTGGCATCCAAAACATGAAAATGTAACATTACAGGAAATAATTGTGTTCTGAATTGCAATTCCTACTTTTTTTCCCATAACATAGAAGTGAGCTTTAGGCATCTTTGAAATGAGTGAAGAAATCTTTTCAAAATAGACAGATGATGGATACGTTCCTTTAATCAATTGGCAACATTCATTTCACTGCCAGTCAAGCAGTGCCAATTTACCATCAAGGCGAGCCCAGGCAATTCTTCGAGAACCAAAAACAATGGACACAGTACTATTAACGTCCTTAAATCTTTCTTTTCCTATATCTGGTTGATGATCTTTTTCAAGAGCCAGTTGTCCTGTAACTTTTTTTTTTTTTTTCTGTTCAATTTCTGGACAAAGAATGCAGTTACAAACTTGAATGGTAGTTTTATACTGGAACAAGGTCACATTCATTAAACTCTCCAAATTCTGACATGGCCCAGACTTTTCTCTATGCTGTACAACATTGTTGGACTTTTTCCACAAGCAGTTGGAAAGCCTCAAGTTCTTTATTAGATGCTGTATTCAATATGTTCAAGTTGGAAGCCTACTGTTCTGAAGAGAACAGCTTGTTAAATGCATTACCAAAGTCCTCTGCATTTTCATGACAAAAATCAACATTGGGAATAATGTTCATAGGAGCAGTAGATTTTTTCCAACAGCAGGAATTATGTAGGATCTGTAACAAAGATGGCTCCAGCAGAACCAGAAAACATCTCCACCTCCCTCCCGCCAAAATGGGAGTCATTACGTTCATCCTCCGCCTTATAAATCAGTAGCTCCCACAGTCCAGGATTCCTCCATTGTGGTGCAGGCATTTTTGATGAGTTAGTTATAGTGTAATAACATTCACCTAAAGGGTGTGAAGTGTAATATACAGTGTTGTAAACCAATGTTATAACAATAAACAAAGTAAACAAGAAATTTTTTTAAATGTCATTCCTCCCTAAATTTATTTACAGATTTAATACATTCCCTGTCTAAATCTAAGCTCAATTCTTTGCAGAAATACATAGTTGATTCAAAAATTCATGTGGAGATGTGAGGAATTCGTAATAGGTAACACTGTTGCAAAAACAACAAATCTACAGAATTCAAACCAGTATGGTACTGGCATCAACATACAACACAGAGTAATGAAATAGAAAGAGCAATAGGGACATAAACTGCATAGAATATCTATGGCCAAAGGATTGTCATCATAGTGTTAAGCATAGTCAATGAAGAAATAATGAAGTGTTCATCAATTCATGCTGGGTAATGGAGATTCACAAAGGTGTAGTATACGGCGGCTGTTAATTTATAAAGAAAAGTTATGGAGAGTTAACTCAAAAATGGGTGACTGTAATGTAAAATCTGAAAGTATTAAATATCTGAAGAAATAAAAGAACGATGTTAGGTAATACAAAGAACAAAGTGCAAAGAATGTGATTTAAAAATGAAAGTCTGTGTTCTTTGGAATTTTGGTACTGCTCTCAGAAAGGGAATTAGATATTTTATTGAAGTCTTTGTTGTTGGGTATGTTTTGTTTGGAAACTGGTCAAGAATATTGTAATGCGTTGGGAGAATGTTTTTTTTTTTTTTTTAATTTTTATTTGTGTGTAATTTACTAAGACTGATTTTTTTCTTTCTTTCTCCAGAATCTGTTGTTTTGAGTGTACGGACAAAGTGTAACACTGAAGGAAGTATGTGTCTACCTGTGAAGGTATATAATCATTTTACCTAAGTGTGTTGGTAATTTTTAGTAGGTAAGTTTATTTGGGAAGATTGTTTTATGAAGTACTTCAGCGTGATTTTGTTGTTTGTGTTGGAGAGAAAATATTGGGTTTATATTTGTAATAACAAATGTAAATCTGACAGGTGAACTTTAAATGTAGCAGCGTACATGAATATAAACCACGTTTTATTAAGGCTGCGGGATTGTTAAGTAACTATTAAGGGTGTCTTTCATTTAAAGTCAGTTCGTGAATTGTGAAAGAGTAACTGTGGCGATTGTTGCATGAAGTTTCTGATTCGTAGTCACGGCTTGTAAAGGGGAAGAAGAGGAAGATCATTGGGGCTTCAGTTTTTGCAAATCAGGATTTTCTGAGGGAAAAAAAAAAACACTGACGAACACATCCCTAGTATTTTTCCCCTCCCTAATGCGCATGCGTAACATGCGCAGTAATTCTATTTTGAAAGGTCCGGCAGTTTAACCTAGAATTTTGCTGTACTGTTTCCGTAATGTTATTGCAGCAGTAGTTTGTGATATTAAGTTATAGAAAAATAGATTCTGTGATCTCAGTTATTAACTGGCTGGCATAATGTCTCTGGTTTGACTAGCAACTGGAGAATCGATCCGCGGAGTGACACAGTGCAAACAAACCGGAAAACACGCTCCAGGTTCAAGATGGTGGTTGAAAGCTGAGACTGGTGGCGACTGGTAAGCTTCAGTAGGACCAACAATAACTCTGGAATTTCTCTGAAAATAAAATTACTGTAAGCATAGATTTTTGGGCACGGAGGACACATGACTCGGAAAGAAAGATCGCATAATATTTTACAGATAAGTAGTTGAAGCTGACATGGAGGGAGGAGCTGAGGAATTTCTACCGCCGCCGGAATGCCCTGTGTTCGAGCCTACCTGGGCGGAATTCCGAGACCCGCTTGAGTACATTGCGAAAATTAGACCCATCGCTGAGAAATCGGGCATTTGTAAGATTCGCCCACCCGCGGTAAGTGTACAGTGCAAAATTTTAACTTGCGGTCTTGCTTACATTGCACATACGACAAACTGCCCAATAATAAGGCCTTATATTTAGAGCTAAAAACTACTAGCTTATTAATTTCCATGTTCATGATTTTCATTTTGTCGTCCTAGAACAGCACATTTGAAAAATTTATGACTAAAAAAATGTAATTCCAAATTGGTTTTTCATTCTTCAACCCAACTGTTCCAACAATATGTTCCTGTATTTTTAATACACTCAGTGTTTCACTGAAGCTCTTTGTTGCATTTGTTGTACTTAACTGTTAATCTTGGGAATGGTTTCATTTTCTCTTTAGGACCTCAGGAATTTCTAACAAGTACACATAAAAATTGGTTAACAATCCACATAGGTTCTTTCCCACCAATTATATTGATGATATTGCACTTACTTTCTATGCAAAAAGCTCTTAACTGAAACTGTTAAATAGTTGTTAATTAACAATGCAAACGGAAATGATACTCAGAGTGAATGCCAACTTCTTCCCCACTGTTAATTTTTCAGATGCTTAACCTCACGACGGCACTGGCTTTCTTCTCTTTAAAGTTTTCCACTTTCCTTTCTGTTACTCATTTTCACCTTTGCCACACAGCTTAGATCAGGGACCACAACTTCTAAAGAAACAGTTTATTACACATACTATCTGTATCTTCTATTCACTAACAGCTTTCGTCATACCTTAAGTGGGCCACTCTTTATTGAGCCATGCCTCATTCTCTAAAAGGGTTATAATAAATTCAGATTTTTTTGTTTTTTAGCTGCCCCCCCCCCACTTCCCACCTCTCAGTTATCTCATGTTAAACAAATATTACAGGCTTTGTGGACCCAAAAAAAGCAACCAAAAAAGGAGTCTTAAAATAGAGGGATACTAAGATGAATACATATTTCACACTATCTATATTCTTTACTAATCCACATTAACCTGGTTCTTGGTTCTTTTACTTTGTTGAAGGACTGGCAGCCTCCCTTTGCAGTTGAAGTTGACAACTTCAGATTTACTCCTCGAATACAAAGACTAAATGAACTAGAGGTAAAATGGGAATTCACCCCTTTTGAACTCTACTCATGCTTCATGCTGGTTTTTAACACTGCAGTTAAGAAGTAGTAAAAGCAGACTTTATTTTTTAAAAGAAATCAATAGTCTGCATATTTGACTTGTAAAATATGGACAGTATGTCAGTGCTTTGGCATTCTCTTTCACTATTGCAAGTTTTGACATTGTCAATGATGACTCCAACTACAAAATGACTTATGGTAAAAGAAGAAAAATACAGAAACTGGCTTCCTATCAAAGTGTTTGACACAGGAGGAAAAATGATTTTAGTCCTAAATAGTCTTTATCAACTCTTACTAAATCCAAGGACTTTTAAATTTGGGATGAAGGATTTTTACTGTGAGACGACATTCTTTTTTTTTTTTTAAAGATTTATCCATGCATTCAAGAACTGAGGTGTAAGCCAGAGGCATCATTCTATAAAAGTTCCTCTCAGATTAAGCAGGCAACTATTTGGCACCAATTTAGAGAGACTGTAAAGTGTTAGATTCTACTACATTAATATGTAAATGGTACAAAAACAAGTGTTTATCCACTTCCAATACCAAGTACAGATTAAGGAATAAGCAAATCTATACAACTCTCTCTGCCCCAGGCCCAGACCAGAGTGAAATTAAACTATTTGGACCAGATTGCAAAGTTCTGGGAAATCCAAGGCTCATCGTTAAAAATTCCCAATGTGGAACGGAGGATCTTGGACCTCTACAGCCTTAGTAAGGTAAAAGTAATTCTGCATACAAAAGGGAAAATAAGGCAGGGAGCTTTGGCTCATCTGTGATTGTACATTGTGTCTGTTGGTAAGGAGAGAACTCAGAGCTTGCTCTGCTAGTATTTTTTGACCTAGTTTTTGAGTCTAGGAATTGTTTGTTTTAGGGGCAGATTTTTAAGTCTCATTGCTGTTCTGATCTGATCACAATTCATTTATACCTTTTATATTCTTTCAGATTGTCATGGAGGAAGGTGGTTATGAAGCCATCTGTAAGGACCGTCGGTGGGCCAGAGTTGCACAGCGCCTCAGTTACCCACCAGGGAAAAACATTGGGTCCCTTTTACGTTCTCACTATGAACGCATCATTTATCCCTATGAAATGTTTCAGTCTGGAGCCAACCTTGTGGTGAGGGGCTGTTTTTAGGGTTTGATATGATTTTCATCTTTTTGCTTCTCTTTTCTGGGTTGGGCTCTTGCCTGAATAGTCAGTATTTATTGAAAGTTTTAATTTATTGATAGAATTAAAAGTTACATTTAATTTTCAGCCTGGAAAATATTTTATAACCTGTTTGAATAAGTTTCTATCTCCCAGACTGGCTAAATAAGAACTGGAATGTGCTCTCCCTTTCTCTTAGATGATTAATATGTACTAAGATTATTTTGTAGACAAAATACTAGAATGGAATTTTAGACAAAAGCAGTTCCTATTTTAGGCCACCCACCATTAAATAATTTTCTTATGAAATAACTTCTACAAGTAGTATACGTAAAAAAAGTTTATGGAAAAAGCTTGGTGTTTCTTGGACTTAAGTCGAAGGAGTGAGAACTGATTTTGGTGAGTATTTTTAAATAGATTTTTAGCTTTTATTATTTACAAAGAACGTACTTTTAAAAGCTGAGTTTGTATGTAAACATGGATTTTATTCAATTACATAATTCCATTAGATTCGCTATTTTTATTGTCTCTTTTAATAGAGATCCAGGGGCTTTGCATTAAGGTACACAAAGAGTTAATGTAAAAGTCCAGTTTCAAATTCAATGACTGTTGCTTTACTGTTCTTATTCATAAGTAAAGACATAGAGATTCTTTCCATACATCTTCTGTCATTTCAGAGAACAAGAGGGACAGATTGTATATCAGAACTACAGCTTTCATTGCCAAGTACAGGGTGAAGGAATCAATTACTTACAAATGTGACTCAGTTCCTTACCATTTTTCCCAACAGTGTAACACTCACCCATTTGAAAGCAAGGAAAAAGACAGGGAATACAAACCACACAGTATTCTCCTTAGACAGTCTGTGCAACCTTCCAAGTTCAGTAGCTACAGTCGCCGGGCAAAAAGACGGCAACCTGATGTGAGTGCTGTTTTGTTTTCATCAGCTGTGAAAATTGATCTTGTTGCTTTTAGGGACCTTGCACCTATAACTGGTCCAAGATTTAGCTGAAAATGAATGGATATCGGTTGTAGTACTTTATTTTTTATAAAACATTTTTTCAGTACTGTTTGTACAGATTAATTTTTATTGATCTTGGGAGTGTTCTGCTAAGTACAGTATACTATATTTAGTACAGTACAGTATACAGTATATACCTGTTTGTAATTTTAACCCTTTTTAAAAAAAATTTATTTACACATACAAAAACTGTGGTACAGGCCAGAGGTGTGGAGGGTGAGAGGCTACTCCAAAGACAATGGGGAAACAGGACAGGCAGATCTACTGAAATACATTGCTGAGGGGAGCAGTGAGTGAGACTGGAGAAGTCTACTGTTCCACATGGATTAGCCCTGGCTGGGGATTGAATTTATGCTGCAGTATCTTTGGATAGCTCCCTATTACTGCGACTTAACCCCTTGCACCACCAGGGAGGCCCTTAGCCATTTGTTTTACTCTGTTCTTTTATGGCTACAGGTGACACGGGAGAGGATGAGAAAACTTGTTTATTTTATTCAGGGACAGACAAGGCCACTTAGGAAAGAATGATGTGCAGCAGGAGACAGAGGGACAGTGAGGTGAGCTCCAAGGCCATGGAGTTTATTGGGATTTTCTAGGGAAAGGGAAGACACAGTAGGGTAACAGTTTGGGATTGACAGGTCTGAACAGTTTTGGTAGACTTTTAAGCTGTAGTAGTGGCCTTCAGTTGCTTGGTGCTTGGCTTTAGGACAATTAAGGCAAACCAGTAATACCTGTTGTGGTGAAGGAACCTGACAAAGAAGGGCTGAGCCTGGATTGATTGATTTCATATCAAAGGACTGCTTTTGGCTGGGTCTTCTGCTATCTTGATTGGCTAGTTCCAAAAGGTCAGTATCCCAAGCCGGAAAGTTTTCAAGATGTTTAAAAATTTTGAATATGAACAATACGTTCTTAGAATTTCTTATTGTACTAATTATGCCTATATAATTTTCACAAAATCTTAGATGTTTCTGTTTTTCAAATATTTTCAGTTATATTAAGTAGTTTGTGTATAACCCTAATAATACTGAATTTCAAAATATTAAATATTAGAACATGAGACTGTAGCCTGAAGAAGTGAGAAAGTGAGGTATAGTACAGAGTATTGGGATTCAGTAGATTCTGCATTGCTGCCGAAGTTTCATATACTGTCTGAAAATAAATTGAATTAGAAAAACGAGCATGTGATAACTTGGAAACTAGTAAAATTTACCTGAAAGTTCTAAATATCAGGTACAATTAAAAAAATTTTTCAATTGAACAATCTTCACACTTTTTCTTAGAGGTAGGGTTTTAAACACATTGCTAGAAAGATTTAAGAAATTTCTAGGACCTTTCTTGTGGTGCAAAAGGGTTCACCACAGCATTATGAAGCCATCCCATCCCCAGCCTCTGCAGCACAGCAGACCTCTCCTGTCGCGCTCTCTGCTCTCCTCAGCAGTGTATTTCAGTCAATCTGCTTGTTCTGTTTCCCATCATATTTTCACAAATTTTATTCATAGAGTCTTGTCTTGATTACTGAGTGATTATCTTTACTATCACCATTGCTAAAATAAATATTACAGTCTTGGGGATAGTAAACCAAAAAATGTGTTTTTGTTTATATGTAGGAAAAAATTGTAAAAACAAAACTAAGACTTTACAAGGTGAAATGTAATCAGACTTTAATATAAAAGTACAATAAAAATTAAAAGATAAAACATGTTACAGAGTCCACTAAAAAAAGTTCCAAAAATGACATGAAATGCGTATTTTTTGAAGCATAATGTATTTCCATTTTTCTAGGTTTCTGATTACTTTGTGGGGAAAAGGGAGTTACTTTTTTTTAAAGATTTATTTATTTCTGCATTCAAGAGCTGGGGTACAGGCCAGAGGTGTGAGGGTTGAGAGGATTCACCAGAGACAGAGTGGGGAGCAGAACAGGCAGACTGACTGAAATACACTGCTGAAGGGAGCAGTGGGCAAGACAACAGAAGTCTGATGTCCCACGTGGGTAGTTTCCTCACAGAGGATCTAATTCTTGAGATAGTGGCTGCGGAAAGCTTCAAAGGTTGCATCTCAACCCCTTGTGCTACCAGGGAGGCCCAAAAGGAGTTAATGTTTCTGATGACCTAAATTCAAACAAGAATACTTGTTTAACTTTTGCAACTTCAGCTCAGTTGCAGATTGGGTCATATTTGTCTTTATTTATTTATTTTTAAGGATTTATTAATTTTTATACAAGAACTGAGGTACAGGCCAGATGCGCGGGAGGGTGAGAGGATTCACCAGAGACAGAGCAGGGAACAGAACTGGCAGGCTGAGGAAATACACTGCTCAGGGGAGCAGCAGGTGAGACAGGAGAGGTCTGCTGCACCATGTGGGATTCTCACCACTGGCCAGGATCAAATCTGTGCTGCAGAGGCTGCAGACAACTTCATAGTGCAGTCCTCAACCACCTGTGCCACCAGGGAGGCCCATATTTGTATTTATTGAATCATCTCATAATGTTAAAGTCCTGTAAATAGAGGTGTAATTCTTTTGTTTCCTTTATAACACAAAAAAATGAAAAGCAGGTATTACCTCCCAAATTTCTCTGTTCATTTTCTACTGCCTAGCCACTTTAACCACAGATTAAAAATAGATTTAAGTGTCTATTGAGACACCTAAAAATGGATAGAGGCTGCTGATAGATTTTAATTGCTATAATCTATTTTGCTTTTATATCAGCCAGAATATTTTACAATATTTTGTCTAAAGTATTACATCTTTTTATAATATGAAGCATAATATATGAATAAGAATTGCTCCTTTTCTTAAACCTTCTTTCAACAGCCAGTACCCACAGAAGAGGACATTGACAAGAACCCAGAGTTGAAAAAGCTACAGATTTATGGGGCAGGTCCTAAGATGATTGGCTTGGGTCTCATGGCCAAGGACAAGACATTGCAGAACAAAGGTAAAGCATAGTAGACTGAAAGGCAGTATAAGGGGCAAAGTACAGATTACAATGATGGGATGTTTTGGTAATCCTAATGGAGGACAGATTTTTATTTATTTATTTTTTTCTGACTTCCCTAGATAAAGAAGGGGCCATGTGTCCTCCTACTGTTAGGTTGAAAAAGGAACCAAGTAATGATGAGAAAGTACACTCAGCCTTGCCTAAGGAAGACTTAAGTCATACCATAGAGTCTTGCACTAAGATGACAATGCACCTACGGAAGAATCACAGCGGTGCTCAGTTTGTAAGGACTGACCTGTGATTTTGTAGTAGTTCTTGACCTGTTAGTATTAATATGGAGCCTAAAATTATTTCATCCCATATTACTCTTTTCTTTTTATTCCAAATCTGTGTTTGTATGTGTGTCTGTCCATTTGTATCAATGTCCATGAAAAAAATGATGACCAGGAAAAGAAGAAACATTTTTTTAAATCAGCATTTTACCCTACAGCTGTATCGTTTTTCAGCTCCAATAGTAAGCACTAGCTGAACTTTAACATCTGAAGATGTTAGGAGGTAAATTTATCAAATATAAAATATGAGAACTATTTGTTTCTGGCAAATGCTTCAGGACTCTCTAAGCATAATATCTGATACAGTTGTATCTTCTTTCATCTTGCCTTACTTAGGTCTGTGATCTGTAAATTCTCTCTCTCTTTTCCTACCCTTTATGTGAGAACTTTTATTGTCATTAAATTGTGTTGTCTCTATATTTCTATAAGTTTTGGGGTGTCCTTGCCAGAGCTACTTTTACTTTTTAATAATTTTTGTTTACCCTCCCTGCTCTGTAAATATTTATGTTACAAAAATTTTATTTTTAAATAGCTTTCGGTTTTGAGCGCTACAATTGTGTTTTTCTTAATTGTTTCCACCTGCGTTTCTTATAGTACTGGTTGTCCTAAGTTTTTCTTCTTTCTTGAGGTCTGAAAGTCATTTATGACTTTTCTCTAACTTCTGTAATACGGTGAATACCTAGTTCAGTTGTCTTCTTTTTATTGTCATATAGTATGTATACATAAAACTACATAAGGTAGTTTTGCTTATTTTATACTTTTTAATTAGTATCAGTATATAACTCTTGTGTTTCTTTAGTCAATATTATATTTTGAGAAATTCATTTGTATTTTATGAGTTCTCATTGTATTACACTTTTTTTTTTTTAAAGATTTACTTTTATACAATAGCTGGGGTACAGGTCAGAGGTGTGGGGAGGGTGAGAGGATTCACCACAGACAGAACAGGGAGAGGAATAGGCAGACGACTGAAATACACTGCTGAGGGGAGCAGCAGATGAGAAAGGAGAGGTCTACCACGCCATGTGGGAATCTCCATGGCAGACTGGTAATCGAACCTGCACTGCAGAGGCTGTGGGTGGCTTTACAGTGCTGCTCTCAACCCGCTGCACCACCGGGGAGGCCCGTATTAACACTTTTTAAAGTACAATTTTATTAAACACGGCTTCATTCTAAAAATCTATTACATTGTTTATGGATTTTTTTTGGCATTTCCAGTTTCAGTATTTATTCTTTAGATTTCCTGGCTTGGGCTGGAATATTAATGATACTTGTACTTAACCTTTCGTGATCTGTGTAGGCATTTCTGTTGTATATTAATAAGATTAGAATGGTGACAAAGTAACTGCTATACACATGTAAAAATATTTGTACATTTACATATTTGAGTTATTGCTCATCTTTTAAACTGAAAATTTACTTCTGGATTCTTCCATTGTAGCTTAACTGCAAGTGATTTTTCCAATATGTAAACTCATCCTGCTAAAAATTTGTGTTTATCATCTTTCTTAACTGGTACTACTAGTTTATTTAAATAGCATCTATGAATGTAAGTATTCAGCTTTGTCTTAATTATTATAATCAACTACTTGGATGACTAATTCATTCTGTGAATTGATGAAGACAGCTTTTAGAGTGAAAATGGACACCTATTAAACTCTTACAGTATAACAATAGGTATTTCACTTGTATTAATTTTGTGTTAAACTACTAGTTCAGCTTGCAACCTATACAAGTTAGCATTACCCAGATGATTCATGATTTTAAGTTTAGAATTGTACCATTGGACCTTATATAAAAATCTTCTTTGTTGCTCATAAAGCCCCTTAATTGTGATTCTTTATTAACCATGTTATTTAGTAATTATATCCTATCATTTTACATACCAAGTGAATGATTAAGTAGAACATTGCATAGCCATTCACTGATAGTAGGCATTAAAAATAGACTGGGAACCTGGGGCAAGGTATCATGGAGCACATAATTTATATTTTTAGTTTTCCTCATAGATTGATTCATATGTTTGCCGAATATGCTATCGAGGGGATGAGGATGATAGACTTCTTCTCTGCAATGGCTGTGATGACAATTACCACATCTTCTGCCTGTTACCACCACTTCCTGAAGTTCCCAGAGGTGTCTGGAGGTGCCCAAAGTGTATCATGGCGGTAAGGCCAGTACTATATAGATATTTAAATTTAGTTTAATTCAGCCTCCTGATTTTAAAGAGAAACTAGGTAGGTAATAGTTTTATCCTTTTCTAAAGGTTGTATGATCATTAGTGGAACAATGAGCAAGATAGTTGGGCAGGACAGTAGAGAATAAAACAGAAAAGGGATCATATTGCTGATGAATCATAGGAACAAAGAAAATGTCTACTAGACACTGCATAAACTATCCACTGGAAATGGTAGTGATATAGCATAAGATATATCTCTAGCTGTTCTTGTGAAGTCTTAGTCTGCTGCCTCTATGTTGCTGAAATATTTTCTATTTCAGGAATGTAAGAGATCCCCTGAAGCCTTTGGCTTTGAGCAGGCTACCCAGGAGTACACTTTGCAGAGCTTTGGTGAAATGGCTGATTCATTCAAGACTGACTATTTCAGCATGCCTGTGCATGTGTGTAATTATAAAATGGGGAAATGGGGGGATTCGCGTCTGATAGCTTTAGTGCTCATAGAGACATCTAACCCAAGTATAGTGGGCTTTGATCATCTCTTAAACTTGTTTTTGCAGATGGTACCTACAGAACTAGTAGAGAAGGAATTCTGGAGAATAGTGAGCAGCATTGAGGAGGATGTAACAGTGGAGTATGGAGCAGACATTCATACCAAAGAATTTGGCAGTGGTTTTCCTGTCAGCAGTAGCAAAATAAACCTGTCTCCTGAAGAGGAGGTAATATGGTTGGTAATTCATATTAACAGTATTAATGTGGGAAGTCAGTATGTGAAACCCATTATTTTTACAAGTCCCTTTCATAATATTTACTGTTTGAAAGAACTAGGTGGGCTCAAGAAGTGTCATTGAATTTACTGATTTGTATGCATAATGTGGAACAGATGAGATAATACAGAGACCACTAATTTCGTTCTTAAATATAAGATGATGTCTCCATTCAGATGTCCTAATTTGCCACTTGTAAGGTAATCACATTAGAAACTTCTCCTTAGGTGCAGAGCCAAATTTTTTGGGAAGGAATTAAAAAATAAGTTACCTCAGGTATTACTGAGAAATTATCCTTATTGTAATTGTTTTACCAGTAAAATTACAAGAACCAAACACATTCTTCAAGTTTTGAACTTTATATTTCTGTCTTTTTTCCGGTGTTGTGCTTTGAAAAGTCGTCTATACTGTTTCTCATGATTTTAATTCATTTCATGTTTCATTAATGTATAAAATTCCACTTTGATATATCATCATTTATCTATTTTTCTGTTGGATTACTTTTAGCATCTGGCTATTATATTATTAAGTCTGTCGTAAAATTCTCATGAATTTTAGGTAATATATTTGGGAATGGATTGAAGTTGTACCAAGTTTTACTCTAATAACAGTTAGTTATATTTATAATCTCAACTTTGCCACTTTTTCATCAGGTTATTCTTCCAAGTGCTGATGGTAGAAGCATATCATTTTTATTGTCAAGCTACCAGAAATCTCTAGGTACTTAATGTGTATATAGTGCGTACACATGTGTATCTATATACACATGTGCATGCATATATCGATGAGTGAAAAAAATGCAGTCTTAGTATTTGACTACTTCATGATGGAATTATAAGCTTCTCTTTCCTGTCTCTGAATTCCATACCTATAATTTGACTTGGTGTCTGGATCTACTTTTTACTACATATATTATTCTGTATACTTAGGCTTTAGGTACGTTTTTGTAACTTAACATAGGGAAATGAATTTTGAAAAAATCTGATTGTGAAGATTTTTAATCATAGCCAGTTTTCACAAATTGTGAGAACTGATGATTTGCAACTATTTTTATTATTTTAGAACTTATTTTTCTTTTTCAGTTTTCCCTTTTTTCTTTCATTTCACTTAAATCCTTTTAGTTTTACATTTATATATAAATGTGTATATGTAATACTGTATTTCAGAAAGACAAGAAAAAAATACACATACCGTGTACATTTCTGTATATGCACTTGTGTATATATGTGGTGTGTTTGTATATGTATATTTGTGCATATATTTTTTAATTAATATTTTTTATTTTTTACATATTTGTTCGTTTTTTTAATTCTTTTTTAAAAATTTGTTAATTTATACAAGAACCAGGGTACAGGCCAGATTCACGGGAGGGTGGCAGGATTCACCAGAGACAGAGCGAGGAACAGAACAGGCAGACTGATGAAATACACTGCTAAGGGGAGCAGCGGGTGTGACAGGAGAGGTCTGCCACACCACATGGGACCTTCGCCGGCCGGCCAGGATAGAACCAACGTTCAGAGGCTGCGGACAGCTTCACAGCTCTGCACTCAACTGCCTGTGCCACCAGCTGAGGCCCTCTTTTTAAAGATTTATTTATTTATGTATACAAGAGCTGGTGTACAGGCCAGAGATGCAGGGTGTGAGAGGATTCACCAGAGACAGAGTGGGGAACAGAACAGGCAAACTGACTGAAATACACTGTTGAAGGGAGCAGCTGGCAAGTCAGGAGAGGTCTGGTGTGACATATGGGTTTTTCTCTCCGGCTGGCTGGGGATGGAACTCATGCTGCACAGGCTGCGGATTGCTTCATAGTGCAGTGCTTAACCCCTTGCACCACTAGGGAGGCCCATCATTGTTCATTTTTAAACAATAGTTGCTTCCCCTTACCCCCTCAGGTTAGTCCCCATAGAGTTTCCTTCACCAGTGCACCCATGCACCATCATCTCAGTCCCCTGTGTTCCTCCCCCCTCCCTCTGATCCTTGTCCCTCTTCCTCCCCTGCAGTATGTCTCTGATTTATAATTGTCCATTTTTGCTTTGCTGTGTTTTGTACTGTTGTTATTTTTTTACACTGATGTCTTATTAGATACCCTATATTCCTGCTGTAAGTGAAACCACCCAATATTTTTCTTTTACCTTCTGCTTATTTCACTGAGCATAATTCCTTCTAGTTCCATCCACGTTGCTGTGAATGGCATGAGTTTATCTTTTTTGATTGCTGAATAATATTCCATTGTGTACATGTGCCACATCTTCTTGATCCAGTCATCTATTTTTGGGCATTTGGGTTGCTTCCAGATTTTACCTATTGTAAATAGTGCTACAGTAAACATAGGGGTATAGGTGTTCTTTTGAACCAGTGTTTTTGTGTCCTTTGGGGAGATCCCTAGGAATGAAATTGCTGGGTCTTATGGTAGTTCCATTTTTAGTAGACTGAGGAACCTCCTGACAGCTTTCCATAGTGGTTGGACCAGTTTGCACTCCCACCAGCAATGCCAGAGAATTCCTTTTTCACCACATCCTCACCAACATTTGTTGTTACTTGTTTTTTTGATATGTGCCATTAGTGGTGTAAGGTGGTATCTTAATGTGGTTTTAATTTGCATTTCCCTGATGATAAGGGATGTTGAACATTTTTTGATATGCTTGTTGGCCATTTGCATTTCCTCTTCGGAGAAATGTCTTTTAAGTTTTTCTGCCTGTTTCTTGACTGGATTGTTTATTTTGTTGTTGTTGACTCATGTGAGCTCTTTGTATATCTTTGTGATTAGTCCCTTATCAGTTGACTGGAGTGCAAAAATTTTTTCCTAATCACTGGGGTGTTTTTCTGTTTGGGTTCATGTCTCTTTTGCGGTGCAGAAGCTTTTCAGTTTGATATAATCCCAGGTATTTATCTTTTCTTTGACTTTCTTTGCTTTGGGTGATGAGTCTTTAAAGATGTTAGTGAGATGTATGTCTTGTATTGTTTTGCCTATTTTTTAAAATATATTTTATGGTCTCAGGTCTTATTTCCAGTTCTTTTATCCATTTTGAGTTGATTTTTGTGCACGGTGAAAGGAGTGGCCTAGTTTCATGTGGTGGTTCAGTTTTCCTATTGTTTTGCCTATTTTTTAAAATATATTTTATGGTCTCAGGTCTTATGTCCAGTTCTTTTATCCATTTTGAGTTGATTTTTGTGCACGGTGAAAGGAGTGGCCTAGTTTCATGTGGTGGTTCAGTTTTCCCAGGCACATTTATTGAGCAGGCTGTCCATGTTCCATTGTATATTCTTTGCTCCTTTGTCAAGATCAGTTGTCCAATAAGTGTGGTTTTATTTCTGGGCTCTCTTTTCGGTTCCATTGATCTTTGGGTCTCTATTTTTGTTTCAGTACCAAACTTTTAATTATTATGGCTTGGTAGTATAGCTTGAAGTTTGATACTTGAAGTGTGATACCTCATTTCTCCTTTGTTTTCATCAATAGGGCTTTGGCTATTCATGTTTTTTTGTGGTTCCATATGAATTTCATCAGTATTTGTTCTATTTTTTTGAATAATGTCATTGAGATTTTTATTGGACTAGCATTGAGTCTGCATATTGCTTTTGTTAGGATGGACACTTTAATAATGTTAATTCTTCTGATCCATGAGCAGGGGATGTCTTTCCATTTCTTTGTGTTGTCTTCTATTTCTTTTAATCCCACCATGTGGTATTCTTGCCAGCTGGCTGGGATTGAACCCGCTCTACAGAGGCTGCAGACAGCTTCATAGTGCAGCGCTCAACTGCCTGCGCCACCAGGGAGGCCCTAATATTTTTTATATAGGTCTTTCACCTCTTTTGTTAGCTTTATTCCCAAGTATTTGATTTTTTTTTTTTTGTTTCAGTTATAAAAGGGATGGTTTTCTTGATTTCTTCTTTTTCAGATTGATGTGTATAGGAAGTCTACTGATTTTTGTGTGTTGATTTTATATCCTGCTGCTTTACTAAATTGGTTTACTGATTATTTTGAGTAGTTTTTCTGTGGAGTTTTTAGGGTTCTCTATGTATATTATCATATCATCTGCAAATGTGATAGTTTTACTACTTCTTTCTCTCTTTGGATTCCTTGTATGTCTTTCTCTTGTCTTATTGTCCTAGCTAGGACCGCCAGTACTATATTGAAGAGCAGTGGTGAGAGAGGACATCCTTGTCTTGTTCCTGATCTTAAAGGAAAGACTTTCAGCTTTTCACCATTGAGAATAATACTGGCAGTGGGTTTGTCATATATGGCTTTTATTGTGTTAAGGTATGTTCCTTCTATCCCGAGAATTTCAAGGGCCTTCTTCATAAATGGATGTTGGACTTTGTCGAATGCTTTCTCAGCATCTATTGATATGATCATATGGTTTTTATTTTTCTTTTTGATGATGTGTTGGATTACATTGATCAATTTTCATATGTTGAACCATCCTTGTGCCCCTGGGATCAATCTCACTTGATGGTGATGTCCTATCCCTTTGATGTATTGTTGGATTCTGTTGGCAAGGATTTTGTTGAGGATTTTTGCATCAGTGTTCATTAGGAAGATTGGCCTGTAATTTTCTTTTTTTGTGCTGTCTTTGTTGGATTTTGGTATTAGTGTAATGTTGGCTTCATAGAACGTATTTGGTAGTGTTCCTTCTTTTTCAGTTTTTTGAAAGAGTTTATGTAAGATAAGCACTAATTCACTGCTGACCATTTTGTAGAATTCATTTGTGAAGCCATCTGGACCTGGACTTTTGTTTTTGGGGAGTGCTTTGATTACTGCCTCAGTTTTGCTGCTTGTAATTGGTCTGTTTAGGTGTTCTGTTTCTTCTTTGTCCAACTTGGATGATTATATCATTCTAGGAATTTTTTTTTTATAAAGATTTATTTTTTATTTATTTATACAAGCATTGGGTACAGTCCGAAGCGCGGGAGGGTGAGAGAATTCACCAGAGCCAGAGCGGGGAACAGAA